GAGAACCACTCCTTCAAAGCCTCCTATTCACTGTGTTTTTAATTATTTACCTAATCATTTTATTAGGAAATATGGTAATCATGATGGTCATAAGAACTGATCTCCACCTGAACTCTCCTATGTACTTCTTCCTCTTTCATTTATCCCTTGTTGACATCTGTTATGCCACTGCTGTTGTTCCAAAGATGCTTGTGAATTTCCTTGTGAAAGAAAGCGTAACAATTGCTGTCAGTGCTTGTATGACTCAAATGTTCTTCATCTTCCTCTCAGCTGGCTGTGAAATTTTTATGCTTTCAGTAATGGCATATGACCGATATGTGGCCATCTGTAATCCACTGAAGTACCAAGAGGCTATGAGCAAACATTTCTGCTATCAGCTGGTGGGGAGTGCATGGGCAATGGGTCTTTTATATTCAGTTCTAAACACAATGCCTGTGTTAAATATTCAATTCTGTGGGCACACAGAAATCAAACATTTCAGCTGCGAGCTGCCCCCTCTCTTGTCTGCTGCTTGTGGTGGGACCTTTCTCAGTAATCTCATTCCTCTTTTTTCTGCTGTGATCTTTGGGTCCAGCTCCTTTTTGCTCACCCTCATCTCCTACATCTATATCATCAACACTGTCTTGAAGATACAGTCTGCAGAAGGAAGGCACAAAGCTTTCTCCACTTGCAGCTCCCACTTTATTGTAGTGGGATTACTCTACGTAACAGCTCTGTTCCAGTATACAAAACCTAAAACAGTCTCATCAATCATTCTAGACCAAGTGCTGTCCACCCAGTATAGCATCTTAACTCCTATGCTGAATCCCATCATCTACAGCCTAAAAAATAAAGATGTGAAAACAGCCTTACGCAGAATTCTAAAGAAACGTCAATTTATGTAACCTCTGAGCTGTATATTTCTAAATACATATTCTTTAAAACATGGACTTATGAGCAAATGACCTATTAGAACCCACTGTTTTGTTTTCTAGGTTACGTGATTAAAAAAATGCATCCACATGTCTACAAAGAAGCACAATGGCAGGAGAGGGAGGCCAAATGATACTCTGCTACAGCAGCTTCCAGGCCCATCACAGAGCCAACAATCAGTCCATCCAGTGGCACATCTCGACAAGGATAGAGGAGCACAGAGGTGAAATGGAAGGCAAGGGATCCGATTCTCTCACCCATTTCACCTAGGCAGAGGAGGCAAGCGAATGGCTGCAATGTGCTTAGTTGCTGGCTGGGGCTAAAA